TGTTTTATGCTGCATCTTTGAAATCATGGCAAAACTTTGAGCATTATTATATGTATATGTATGGCTGCATCCATATGAACAAATGTGCAGTGGAGAAGACAAGTAGGTGTATTTTAAATAGGAAGTATACCTAGATATTGTAGCACTGGAAATCTCTCCCCACTGCAACCATAATAAAGCCACTCTGAAGTATACGCCCTAAAAAAATGTTCTCTGTGTCAACACTAAAGTGGTAGTCTCCCATCTCCTGGCGTACATAGTGTTTCCAGGAAAGAAACAACTGTACCTCATAGACACAAATATTATGTCTGTCCCCAATACACTGGAGACAAATATTTGTCAGTTTCTCATATCAGACAACTCGAGAAACCCTGCTCTATATGATCTTTTTTTTAAGCCGAGAAATAATGTACCTTACCATTTAAGATATTATTTGCATGATGTATGTACTGGGAAGTCTGTGTGCACAGTAACTTCCTTGGACATATACTTGAAGCAAAGACACACTCACACAACTGTTGTTGGTAAAGAGGTTGCCTTCTCCAGAGAGGAAGTAGCAACCATGTGTAGGAGAGTCAAAGACCTCTGGTAACAGAAAGAACAAGATTAACTTATGCACACAAATTAGAATAATTTGTGTGCCATATTTTTTCATAATGTAATCATGTGCATTTCTAAGTGGTAGTTATGACCCAGCTTTTTGTTACCTCCAGAGAGGCGCCTCCCCAATTTTACAACAGACCTAGGGTGCTTCTACATCAGTGGTTCTCAACCTGAGGGTCCCCAGGTGTTTTAGCCTACAGCTCCCAGAAATCCCAGCCAATTTACCAGCTGTTAGGATTTCTGGGAGCTGAAAGCCAAAACATCTGGGGACCTACAGGTTGAGAACCACTGATTTACATGGCAGAATTAATACAGTGACACCACTTTCACAGGTTAACGCTATGGATCCAAGAGTTGCAGTTATGTGAGGCACAAGCTTTGGCAGAGAAAGCTTTCTCTTTGGCAGAGAAAGCTAAAGGTTTTGGAAAACTACATCACTCACAATTCCATAACTTGCAGTCATGGCAGTTAAAGTTGTGCCCAAACCGTGTTAATCCTACACTGTAGATGCACCCCTTAGCCCAGCTTACCTGTCCCAATGTATTTAAGATCGTCTGGGGAGGCCCTGCTCTCGATCTCGCCTTCTTCGCAGGCATGTCTGGTGAGGACGAGAGACAGGGCCTACTCAGTGATGGCCCCTCGGCTGTGGTGCTCCCTCCCTAGGGATATTAGATCGGCCCCCTCCCTCTTGACTTTCTGAAAAAAAGTAAAAACCTGGCTTTTTGAACAAGCCTTTGGAAATGCAGTGCAATAGACAAACACGGAATTATGTAAGTTGAAACACGGAACAGCTTAGACGATGCTACTGGAAAATGAGATTAACAGGAAGACATTGATTATTATATAGTTTTAATGGTTTTTGTATTGATTTTATAATGTTGTTTTTGAATGTTTTAATTGTATATTGTGGGTTGTTATGGCATCAAATGGCTGCCAATTTGTAAGCCACTGTGAAGTCGCCTTAGGGCTTGAGAAAGGCAGGATAGAAATATCGTGAATAAATAAATTTCCACACACTATGATACAACCAGATGCATCTACACCAGGCCTCCTCAAACTGCAGCCCTCTTATTATTTGGGCCTCCGACTCCCAGAATTCCTGACAATCAAACAAGCTGGCTAGGGCTCCTAGGAGCTGGACCTCAAACAGCTGGAAGGCCATAGGTTTTTTAAAATCCTTGCGTGTTATTGTTTATATGTGAGTTATATTAATTGTATTGTTTTATTTGCTTATTGCTTTTTGTTTTATTGATGTGTTGTCGGGCTTGGTCTCATGTAAGCCGCTCTGGGTCCCCTTGGGGAGATGGTGTCGGGGTATAAATAAAGTTTTATTATTATTATTATTATTTAAGGACGCAGTTTGAGGATACCTAATTAATGCAGTTTGACAGTACTTGAACTGCCATAGCTCAACGCTTTGGAATCCTGGGACTTGAAGTTTGGTGAGGCACCAGCACTCTTTGGCTGAGAAGGCAGAAGGCAATGTTATATTACAACTTTCTGGCATTTGCTCCACTCAGCCTACTCTGAGCTCCCTTCACTCAATGTAGGAAAAACCAAAACCAAGCAAAGGCTCTGAAATATGTGGTGGCCAGAAGAAAAGGAGGCTGAGCAAAAGGGGAAAGAGAAACCATGGTTGTGAGGAAGAGGCAATAATGTGTAGAGCAGTCAAAGTCCTCAGGTAAAAGAAAGGACAAGATTAACTTATGCAGATTAGAGACCATGAGTGTGTTTCCTTCCTAATTAGTCATAACATAATCATGATGTGCCTTTCTAAAGAAGCAGTGGTGATAGTTGTGGCCCAGCTTTTTGCTATCCATTTAGCAATTGGTGCCCCCCTTCCCCAATGTTAGACAAGACCTCCCAAGATCTGACTAGGGTTTCAGGCATTTGCTCTACCCATCCTGCAATGAGCTCCCTTCCCAAATGTAGGAAAGAGCCAAAACCAAGCAAAGGCCAAAAAGCAGGCAGTGATCAGAAGTCAAGAGGCTGAGCAAAAGGAGAGGAGGAAACTGTAAGTAGTGGACCACAAGGCTAGTTTGCAATAGGCCACTCTCCTGGCCCTCTTGGTGGAGCCCTGGAGCTGAACTGCTGAAGAAAAGGAATGTGGGCCAGGAGAGGCTGATACTCTCTGATCAAGGGAAGGAAGTCACAGTCCCACTCCATTCCACCTTGGACAGACCTCACCTGTAAGACTATGTCCACTTCTGGGCACTACAATCCAAAAAAGATGCTGATAAGTTGGAGTGTGAACAAAAGGGTTAAAGGTTTGGAAGCTTAGGGAGAGAAGGTTGAAAGGGGACACGATAGCTATGTTTAACATCTGAAAAGATGTCACATTGTGTTCTGCTGCTCTAGGCCACAGTGAAGCAATGGATTCAGATGGCAGAAAGAGAGACTCCACCTAAACATTAGGAAGAACTTCCTGATAGTAAGACCTGTTTGAAAGTGGCATATGCCGCTTGCCTCAGAGTAGGTTAGAGCCAGCTTCCCTGGAAGTGGGCTAGGAGGCTGGATGGCCATCTGCCGGGAGTACTTTGTGTGTTCCTACATGGCAAAATGGGGGTGGACTGGATCAGAGATGGAAGAGACCACAAGGGCCATCCTTGGAATGGGCTTGGACCATTATGTTATTTTAACATTTATATTATTTTTTTAACTCCATGTTTCAACTGTCTAAAAATGTTGTTACATTTTTATGATCTAATACAGGGGTCCTCAAACATTTTAAACAGAGGCCCAGGTCACAGTCCTTCAAACTGTTGGAGGACTGGATTATAATTTGCAAATAAACATGAATGAATTCCTAGGCACACTGCACATATCTTATTTGTAGCGCAAAAAAACACACTTAAAAACAATACAATAATTAAAATGAAGAATAATTTTTAACAAATATAAACTTATTAGTATTTCAACAGGAAGTGAGAAAAGCGGTATGCAAGTGAACTAACTAAATAAATACATTAAATCTAATGCAAGCCATTCTGCCAGGCAGGGACACTCAGTCAAAGCATCCCTGACAGATGGCCATCCAGACAAAGGTGGAGCCTCCACAACACTCTTGAACAGCTCTTCTCTTCCTTAGTTCTTCCTAATGTTTAGGTGACATCTCTTTTCCTGCAATTTGAACCCATCGCTCCATTGTGTCCTAGTCCCCAGAGAAGCAGAGAACAGGGTTTGTGTTCTGTGCTTCTCTAACAGGCACGGGCAAACTCCGCCCCTCCCCCAGGTGTTTTGGACTTCACCTGCCACAATCTATAGCAGTTGAAATCCTCTAAAATCCCTGAAGGGCTGGAGTTTGCCCATGCCTATTCTATAATGTCTAGAATAGGCATCCTCAAACTGCGGCCATCCAGCTGTTTGGGCCTTCAATTCCCAGAATTCCTGACAATTGAACAAGCTCGTTAGGGCTTCTGGGAGTTGGAGGCCCAAACAGCTGGAGGACTGTAATTTGAGGATCTGGTCTAGAGTTTGATGGAGCCTCCCCAGGGTGGGAGAACGAACTCTTGTCTGCCTGAGGCAAGTGTGAATGTTGCAGTTGGGTAGCCGTGAGTGTTCTGGGTTGTCTGACTATACTTAAGAAGCATTCTCTCCTGATTTCGCCCACATCTATGGCAGGCATCTTCAGAGGTTGAGGGGTCTGTTGGAAACTAGGCAAGTGAGGTTTATATATTTGTGGAATAATGTCCAGGGTGGGAGAAAGAACTCTTCTCTGCTTGAAGCAAGTGTGAATGTTGGGTTGCTGTGAGTTTTCCAGGCGTCTGGCCATGTTCCAGAAGCATTCTCTTCTGAATCTACATCTATGGCAGGCTTCCTTGAGGGGTCTGTTGGAAACTAGACATGTGGTGTTTATCTATTTGTGAAATGTCTAGGTTTATATATCTGTGGAAATGTTTAAATATATCTGTGGAATAATGTCCAGGGCAGAAGAAAGAACTCTTGTCTGCTTGAGGCAAGTGTGAATGTTGCAGTTGGGTTGCTGTGAGTTTTCCGGACTATATGGCCATTTTCCAGAAGCCTTATCTCCTGACATTTTGCCCACATCTAAAGCAGGCATCCCCAGAGATAGTGAAGTGAGTTGGAAACTAGGCAAGTGAGGTTTATATATCTGTGGAGTAATGTTCAGGGTGAGAGAAAGAACTCTTGTCTGCTTAAGGCAAGTGTGAATGTTGCAACTGGCCACCTTGATTAGCACTGAGTAGCCTTGCAGCTTCAAAGCCTGGCTGCTTCCTGCCATGGGGGAATCCTTTGTTGGGAGGTGTTAGCTGGCCCTGATGGTTTCCTACAAATTATCTATAGACCTGAGGGTTTGTAAGCAGAGGTGGGTGCCTGCCTGCCTGCCTTCCTGTCTAAAGGGGTCCCTCTCTCTCCCCCCCCGAGGAGGGCCCGCTCACCTTTTGGAGAGGTCCATGAGGACCCCGGAGAAGAGCTTCTCCCCGAAGCGGAAAGACACCACCAGCGCGTCCTCGATGATGTGGTCCAGGGTGACCCGCACCTCGGAGCCCGGCACCAGCAGCAGCGACGGCGCCTCCGCGGCCTCTTCCTCTTCGGCTCCTCCTCCTCTTCCCTCGGGCCCCGCAGGCGCCGGGACAGCGACCTGTTCCTCCTCCTCCTCTTCCTCCGGCGGCGGCGTCTCGGCGGCGGCAGCAGCGAGGCTGGCAGCAGCGGCGGCGGCGGCAGCAGCAGCACCCGGCTCTTCCTCCTCTTCCTCCTCCTCCGTGCGGGGCGGCTCGGAGGGGCCCTCAGCCGAAGGCAAAGGCGAGGGCAAAGGCGGCTCCTCCTGGGCGCCGTGCCCTTCCTCTGCGGCCTGAGGAAGCAGTGGCGGCGGCGGGGACGGGGGGAGTCCCTCGGGGGTGCGCTGTGGCTGCTGCTGCTGCTGCTGCGGCGGCCTGCCCGGGCCCTGCGTGGCGGCCTCTTCCTCCTCCTCCTCCTCCCCCTCCTCCTCCTCGGCGGGGCTGCTGGGCGGCGTGGGCGCGGGCGGCTCCTCCTGAGGCGCTCCCCCGGGCGCCGGCTCGGGCTCCTCCCTGGCCTCCGGCGCCGCCGGCTCCACCGCGGCCTGGCTGCCGGCCGGGAGCGGGTCTGCGCCCGCCTCACTGCCCGGGGTGGGCTCGGCCTCGCCGGCGGACCCCTCGCCCGGCCCCGCCGCCGCCGCAGTCGCAGCCACGGCCGCCATTTTCTCTGCTGTTGCTTCCCGCTCCTCCTCCCTCCTCAGCAGCGGGATCGATCACCACGGCCTTCCTCTCCTGCCTGGGAAGGGGAGGGGGCCAAGGCCACTACCTTTCCGCTTCTTAAGCCGCGATTGGCAGCCGGGCACGTCCGTCAAGGCGGATAACAACTTCTCATTGGCTGAGGGAGGAAACGTTGGGTCTCGAGGGCAGGAAGTGGAAAGGAAAGGAGGGGCGGGGCCTCCGGTATCTGTGTCGAGAAAGATCAAAAGGGGGCAGGCTCAAGAAGCGGCTCGCCTCCCATTCGGGGAAGGGCGGGGACGCTGGCCCCGCCCACCTCGCTCCGGCTGCTGATTGGTCGGGTGCGGTGTCTCTCGAAAGGCGGGCTTGAGAGCAGCCGGGGGAGACCGCCGCGATGTGGAGCCGGTCCTTTGCACGGGGCGCCTCGAGGGGAGAGGGGGGAAGAGGGGTCCTTGGAAGAGGCAGGCGGAAAAGTAGAAAGCCCAACTGGGAGAGCCAATACGCGCTCCGGCGGAAAGGGAGCAGGAAAACCCCAAAACCATGAAGATGAGGCATACAAAGTAGCACGTGGGGTTTTCCATAGTTACAGGGGTGCTTTGATGGTGCCTTTCCTGCATGGCAGGGTCCAAAACATCCGAAGGACTGAAGTTTGCCCATGCCTGTGCTATATAGGGTCTGCCAATTTTTATTGACTGAATAGATAGTAATAATAATAAAAATATAATAATAATAATAATAATAATAATAAAGTATGTTGCAATCTCAGGCAACAGAATTGAAGAGAAACAACTGGAAAAGCTGACACAATATGAGGATCTGGCACAAGCCAGTCAAGGTGGTCCCAGGGGTGATCGGCACACTGGGTGCAGTGCCTAAAGACCTTGGCCTGCACTTAAGCACAATTGGCGCTAACAAAATTACCATCTGCCAGCTGCAGAAGGCCACCTTACTGGGATCTGCACACATTATTCACCAATACATCACACAGTCCTAGGAAGGGTCCAACGTGTGATCCAACACAACAGCCAGCAGAGTGATCTTGTTTGCTGCGGACTCACCTTGTGTTTCAAATAACAATAATAATATAACTTTATTTTTGTACCCCGCCTCCATCTCCCTGAAGGGACTCAGGACAGCTTACATATGGCACAATGTGCCTGAAACAACACATAAAATGTGCACACAATACAATACAAGATAAAACCAAAAGCAAAGTTTAAGCTCAAAACAGTTCCCCATAACCTATGATGAGAACTGTTGTAAAACATAGCCAACTGTAAACAGTGCAAATGTTAGCTAATGAACTGAGGCATGGGATGAAAGTGCAGTGCTGTGGCATTAAATTGCAGACCATCGCGAGGAGACATTCTCAAAGGCTTGCCTAAACATCCAAGTCTTCCATTTCTTCCAGAAGGAGGAGAGTGTGTGGGCCTGCCTAATCTCCCAGGGGAGGGCATTCCAAAGCTGGGGGGCCGCCACAGAGAAGGCCCTCTCCCTCATCCCCACCAACCACGCTTGCGATGGTGGGTGGCCGGACTGTGAGGAAGGCCTCCCTGGCAGATCTTTGAGTTCCCCCCTCAGAAACACACTCTCCCTCAGAAACACATTCTAGTTATCTTATCCAGGGTCTTATCAATTCTGGATGAGAATTTATTCTGCATCTATGACAAGCATCAATTTTACTTCTAGTACATTTGACTCACCCACTGTGTCCCATTATTCTATCATGTCTTTTTGGAACTGTTTATTTTATGGGTTGTAGGTTTTTTCGGGCTATATGGCCATGTCCTAGAGCCATTCTATCCTGACGTTTTGCCTGCATCTATGGCAAACATCCTCAGAGGTTGTGAGTTCTTCAACCCAGTGATTCCGGCCATGAAAGCCTTCGACAATACATTGTTTATTTTATTTTGTTATGTATTTATTTTGATTGTATTTTTTATTTTTGTATTTTATTTTTCTGTACTTGTATTGTATTTTGTTGTAATTTTGGGCTTGGCCTCATGTTAGCCGCCCCAAGTCTCCTTCAGGGAGATGGTGGCGGGGTATAAATAAAGATGATGATGATGATTATTATTATTATTAATGCATGTGCAGGAACATAGGGGGTATGTGATCACAAAGATAGGCAGGGCCTGAGTTGCTTATGGCTTTGTTTGAATGATGACCTGTACTTTGAATTGGGACCGGGAACTTATGAGCAACCAGTGGAGCAGTTTTAATAGGGCCGTCCGCTCCCTATAATTGGCTCCAGTTAGCAACCTTCGCACCAGTTGCAGTTGCTGGGCCGTCTTCAAAGGCAGCCCCACTTAGAGTGTATTGCAGTAATCCAACCAGGATTTACCTAAGGCATGGACTACCGTGGGAAAGTCATGCTTCCCAAGGTATGGTTGCAACTGGCGCACAAGTTTTAACTGTGCTAAGGCCCTCCCGGCCACCACCGACACCTGAGCCTCAAGCATCAGCCCTGAGTCCAAGAGGACTCCCAGACTGCGGGTCTGTGTCCTCAAGGAGTGTAACCCCATTGAGCACAGGTTGCCACCCTATGCTCCAATCAGCCTTGTGGCTGTCTTGTCTGGATTATGCTTCAGTTTGTGAAATAAAATTATAGAAGCTTTCGAACCCCTTGTACATATCTACACTGTAGGATGAATGCAGTTTGACACTACTTCAACTGCCTTTGCTCAGTGCTATAAAATCATTAGATTTGATAGTTTGCTGGGGCAGCCCTCTTAGGCAGAGAAGGCCAAAGGCCTTGTAAAGCTACAACTCCCAGGATTCCATAGCCTTGAGCCATAATTGTCAGGATACATTCATTCTACAGCAGGCCTGGGCAACCTTTGGCCCTCTAGGTATTTGGCACTTCAACTCCCACCATCCCTAACAGCCTCAGGCCTCATCCTTTTCCCCCTTAAGCAGCTGATGTGGAAAAGAAAGGGGCCTGGGGCTGTTAGGAATGGTGGGAGTTGAAGTCCCAAACGCCTGGAGGGCCAAAGGTTGTTCACGCCTGATCTTGAGAATCCTAGAGATAGGATTCTCAAATATGGGAATAATGAACTCCACAAAAGTCAAACCTGCCAATGCCAAGTCTAAATTGTATAGCAGCAGCAGCATTGTGAACTGAGCTTTAATATTTTTTTTTAAATGATGTTCTTCTCTATCCACCTAAAAATGCAGAAGAGCTGGATCTGCTCAGACCACAGCTGCTGAAAGTTTGGAAACAACCTTTAGCAGCCTGAAAAAGGGATCAAGATCACAGAGGCAGGCAGAATGGTGTGCAAATCCATCTAAACATGGTGCCTGCTTCTGCATTTGTAGAAGGGGACAGATGCGTTGCCTCGCAGAAACAATTCTATCCCGAGCCTTACAGATTAGTTTCCCATTTGCCTATATTCATCGCTTGTTGCTGTTAAGGCGGCTCATCCATGGCTTCTTTGTCTCAGATCCTAGGTGTAATCTGATGCCTGCAGCACTTTCCCAGTGACGGATTCAGTCTCCATTTTGCTCATAGCAACAGTATTGGGCCTGTTTTTTGATTGATTGTTTCTTCCACTGCTGTTTGTATCTCCCACCTTGATGGAGAGTTCTGGAGGACTTAAAAGCTTACCTGCTTCATATTGTTAAATATTTGTTGGCTCTAATAAAGCGATTTCCCAAATGTAGATTTGTTTTTCTTTCTCTCCTGGCCTCATTTGTCTGCCTTTGCTTTTTATGAGCCAACTTGCTTTGTTCATACTGTCTCCTTCTCTCCACTCCTCCCCTGTTGTTTTATTTTCAAGATGTAAACATTTTCATTTTTTCCAGTACAGGTTGAGTGTTGAAAATTAGGAGCATGCACTCTGCTAATAATACCCACCCATAACAAAATTAATCAAATGTCACAGAGCTTGCATTAATAAATTAATTCTGATTAGAATGTTATATGCGTTAGGGAAAACTACCCTAAAATATAGAAGAGCATCCAAAAATCAAACAGGATACAAAATGTTGACCATCTGCTCATTTATGTGAAGTGCCATGTAGAATCAGAGTTGGAAAAGACTTCGTGGGCCATCCAGTCCAATCCCCTGCCAAGAAGCAGGAAAATTGCATTCAAAGCACTTCCAACAGATGGTCATCCAGCCTCTGTTTAAAAGCCTCCAAAGAAGGAACCTCCACCACACTCCAGGGCAGAGAGTTCCACTGCTGAACCACTCTCACAGTCAGGAAGTTCTTCCTAATGTTCAGATGGAATCGCTTTTCTTGTAGTTTGAAGCCATTGTTCCGCGTCCTAGTCTCCAGGGCAGCAGAAAGCAATGTGATGTGGCTGTAAAGAATTTAGAGCTTAGGCAGGCAAAGATGCAGAGTCCAATCTTAAAAATTCACAAAAGGTTTGTTTACAATAATAAATAACTGCATTTCTTCATGGTAAAGAACTGGGTCTGAGATACTCTAACACTCTGAAATGGGAAGCCCTGGCCCTTGAGCACTCCAGCTGGAAGTCAGCTGTGACGAGCAGTGTTGTAGAATTTGAAGAGGCACGAATGGAGGGCAAAAGAGAGAAACATGCCAAGAGGAAGGTGTGTCAAGCCAACCCCAACCGGAACCGCCTTCCACCTGGAAACCGATGCCCTCACTGCGGGAGAACATACAGGTCAAGAATAGGGCTCCACAGTCACCTACATACCCACCGCCAGAGGACAATTTTACTCGGACAACGAGGGATCGCTAAGTAAGTAAGTCATCTCTTCTAAAGTTTCAAGAGAGGGAAAAAACACCTATCACTACATGTCTCCTGACACACAAACAGAGAGAGATCTCAAAGTACATAACACATACTCAGATGTAAGAAAACAGAAGTAAAGGCTTGCAGTAGAAAAATATCAATTCTACACAACCAATCAGAATGAGAGCAGAAAGAGAGAAGAAAAAGATACATTTGCATCTGTCATACAGAAGACATGGAAACCCTTAGACTATTCTAAGCTAACTAAACTGTACCTCATTGAGGACTTGAGACTTGGGCAGTGGGGTTGAAT